TGTACATGGCAACTTTTTATATTCTCCTGTTTACATGATCGCTTTTGAACGTCCTAGTCTTTCAATGGCTGGCTCCAAAAAGGAAGAAAGAAAGAAGAAAGAAAGAAAGAAAGAAAAGAAAGAAGAAAGAAAGAGAGAAAGAAAGAAAGAAAGAAAGAGAGAGAGAAAGAGAGAAAGAAAGAAAGAAAGAAAAGAAAGAAGAAAGAAAGAGAGAAAGAAAGAAAGAAAAATAAAGAAAGAAAGAAAGAGAGAAAGAAAGAAAGAAGAAAGAAAGAAGAAAGAAAGAAAAGAAAGAAGAAAGAAAGAGAGAAAGAAAGAAAGAAAGAAAGAGAGAGAGAAAGAAAGAAAGAAAGAAAGAAAGAAAGAAAAAAGAAAGAAAGAAAGAAAGAAAGAAGAAAGAAAGAAAGAAAGAAAGAAAGAAAGAAAGAAAGAAAGAAAGAAGAAAGGAAGGAAGGAAGAAAGGAAGGAAGGGAATCTTGGCTCTTTAAATCTGGAAGTTCACTCAGCGTGGAGGAAGGAGGCTCACAACAGTTGGGAGTGGGATGTAACAGCAGCTGTCCACCCCTGTGTCTGCACCTCCAAGCTCAGAAGCAGCAACGAGCAATGAAAACACAGATCTTCTGTTTTAGAGATCAGCATTCTTCTTGCCCACTCTGACTCCCACAAGCTATGTGTAAGCTGCTCCAGGAACATATGTAAGGCTGTATGCCCCAGGGGCAGAAGTTGAGGGATGGGTAGCTGCCATGGTGCCAAGAGAGAAAATTGACCAAAATTAACCAGCCAAGCCTGAGCCTGGAATTTGCAAGCCTTCAACAGACCAGAGCTCCAAAATAGTTACAGACAGATTTGACTGCTACACTTGCTGTCTAGGTGGGGAGACAGAGTTCTGGTGATTTCTACTCTGCCATCTTCCCAGAACAAGGTTTTAAAATTGAAACGAGATGGCTGAAATTTGGACATATGGAAAAGAAAGGGGAAGCAACTCCAGGTAAGGGAAGCTACTTCTGCTTGGAGGCAGCCATAAACAAGCAAACCATATCTAAGTGTCTTATGGGAATTTATTTATTTCTGATAACAGCTCTGCAAATGGTGGCTCTTACTCCATACCAGAGGTGGTGACAATGGTGTAGATGGTGAAGAGTGATGTTTATAATGCTGATGGTGTTGGTGGGATAACGGTAATGGCGGTGGTGGTGGCAGTGGTGAAAGCGGTAATGGTAATGGTAGTGGTAGTCATAATGATGTTAATGATGGTGGTGGTGATGGAGGTGATGGTGATGGAGGTGATGGTGATGGTGGTAATGGTGATGGTGATGGTGGTAATGGTGATGGTGGTAACGGTGATGGTGGTGATAATGCTGCTGGTGGTGGTGGTGGTGAAAGCGGTAATGGTAATGGTAGTGGTAGTCATAATGATGTTAATGATGGTGGTGGTGATGGAGGTGATGGTGATGGTGATGGAGGTGATGGTGATGGTGGTGATGGTGATGGTGGTGATAATGCTGGTGGTGGTGGTGGTGGTGGTGAAAGCGGTAATGGTAATGGTAGTGGTAGTCATAATGATGTTAATGATGGTGGTGGTGATGGAGGTAATGGTGATGGTGATGGTGGTGATGGTGATGGTGGTGATAATGCTGGTGGTGGTGGTAATGATGGTGTTAATAGGTACTATGATTTGAATGTGTTCCCCAAACCTTGTGTGTTGGAAACTTGATCCCCAGTGCATCAGCATTAGGAGATGGGGCTGGCAAGTGTTTAGGTCATGAGCCCTCCACACTCATGAATGCATTAACCTGGTTATCCCAACAGTAAGTTAGTTATCACGAGAGTGAACTTGTTCTAAAACCAAGTTCAGCCCCCTTTTCTCTCTGTCTCACCTTCGCTTGCTCCTCTGCCGTGGATGATGCACCAAGAAGGCCCTTGCCAGATGCCAGCACCTTGATTTTGGGCTTTTCAGCTTCCGGAGTGTGAGAAATAAATTATCCATAAATTACCGACTCTGTGGTTACAGCAACACAAACTAAGACAGAAAATGGGTATCAAGCAGTGGGACTGTTAGTATAACAAATACCTGAAAATGTGGAAGTAGTTTTGGAATTGGAGAGAGGCTGGAATGACCTGGAGGAGAAGGCTGTAAAAGCCTTGATTGTTGTGAATGAAGCAGTAAGGGCAGTTCTGCAGGGAGAGCCGAAATCTTCACAGAGACGACTGAAATGGTCATGATTAGAATGTTGGTAGAAAGATGGACAGCAAAGGCTGTTCTGATGAGGTCTCAGACAGAAATGAGGAACAACGTATTAGAAACTGGAGTAAAGGCCATCCTGGTTATACAGTTACAAAGAATTTGGCAGAATTGTGTCTGTGTCCTTTGTGGAAGGCAGAACTTAAAAGCAATGAACTGGCATAGCGAGCAGAAGAAATATCTAAGTAGCAGGAAAGCATTCAAGGTGCTCTTTAGGTGGCTAAAAATAAACTGAGAAGAGACAAATGATTTAAGGTGGGCTGTGTAATTAAAAGAGAAGCAGAATGGAAACATTTAGAAAACTCTCAGGCTGGCCATGTGAAAAAATTAAATGGCCTCAAAGGCATTTTAGAGATCTTTGAGGCAAGCTAGGACCCTGAGGTCAAGCTTTCCAGAAAGGTGCCCATGAGATGCTCTGTGCATCAGGACTCTGCTCCCCAAATTCTGGTGCAGCACCCCTCAGCCACTCCAGCCTCTGCTCAAACAAGTTTAAGCATAGCTCAACCCACCCATTCAGAAGGAACAGGCCTTAAACCTTGGTGGTGTCCACATGGTGCTGGTTCTGCAGGAAGGTGGAGTGCACAAGCTGCGCAGCCATGGCGGCCTCCACCTAGATTTCAAAGGATCTCATGGACAGCCTAGGTGCCAGGCAGGGACTTGCCCCAGGGGCAAAGCTGCTATAGAGAGTCCCCCCTGGAGCAGTGCCCAGTGGAGCCATGAGGATGAAGCCACCAGACAGCCCTCACCAGAATAATTGTCTGGTGGAGCCATAAGAGTGGGACTGCCACCTCCGGATGCCAGAACTGTGGCGCTACCGTGTGTAGTGCAAGCCTGGGCTCGCCACAGCCATGAGACTCCAACCCAAAAGGACTGCTGAATGGGCTGAGCCCTGCAAAGCCATGGGGGCAAGCCTGCCCAAGGCTGCCCAGCCCTCCATGCAGTGTGCCCAGGAGGTGGTGTACAGAATCAAAGATCATTCTAGAGTCTTAAGACTTAACTCCTGTCATGCTGGATTTGAAACTTGCTTGTGTGCTACTATTTCTTTTTTCTTACATATTTTTCCCTTTTGGAATGGGAATGTATTTCATGCCATCTCATTGTATTTTGGAAGCACTTGTTTGGATTTCACAGGCCCACAGCTAGGAAGGAACTTGCCTCAGGATAAATCATGCTTTGAGTCTCATCTATATCAACTGAAATGAGACTTTGGACTTTGGACTTTGCATTGACGCTGAAACAGGTTGAGACTTTGGAGACTATTGAGATGGAATCAGTGTATTTGACATTGTGAGAAGAACTGAATTTGGCGGAAGTCAGGGCAGAATGCTATGGTGTCAATGTGTCCCTCAAAGTTCGTGTGTTGGAAACCTAACCGGAGGTGTTCAGGTTGTGAGACCTCTACCCTCATCAATGGACTAATGTCATTATCATGAGGGTGGGTTTGTTACAGAAGCAAGTTCTGCCCTCTCCGGCTCTCTCCTGCTTTCTTGCCCTTCCACCCTCACCATAGGGAGGACGTACCAAGGGAAGACCCTCGCCAGTGCTGACACCTCGATATTGGACTTCCCAGTTCTAGAACTGTGAGAAATACATTTCTCTCTTTCTTTCTTTTTCTTGTTGCAAATTTCCCTGCCTGTAGTATTCTGTTTTAGTGATGCAAAATGAACAACGAGGATGGTGGGGCTCTTGGTGGGGATGGTGATGATAGTAATGGTGGTGATGGTAATGGTGATAATGGTGGTGATCATGATGGTGGTAATGGTGGTGATCATGATGGTGATGATGGTGGTGATCATGATGGTGGTGATGGTGGTGGTGACAGTAAAGTTGGTGGTGGCAGTGATGGTAGTGATGGTGCTGATAGTGGTGCTTATGATGATGGTCGTGGTAGTGGTGGTGGTAGTGATGATGGTGGCAGCGGTGGTTATGACAGTGATAATTGTGGTGGTGGTGACAGTGATGGTAGTGATGGTGTTAATGGTGATGATGGCAGTGATGGTGGTGGTTATGATGATGGTGATGGGGGTGGTGGTGGTTATGATGTGATGTGATGGTGATGGTGGTGGTGATGATAATGGTGATGGGGTGGGGGTGGTGATGATGGTGGTGATAGTGGTGGTAGTCATGGTGTTGATGGTGATGGTGGAGGTGATGGTGGTGGTGGTGGTGATGATAGTGGTGGTGGTGGTGACAGTGGTGGTAGTGATGGTGTTGATGGTGATGATGGCAGTGATGGTGGTGGTTATGATGATGGTGATGGGGGTGGTGGTGGTGATGGTGGTGGTGGTGGTGATGATGTGATGGTGATGGTGGTAGTGATGGTGTTGTTGTTGGTGGTGGGGGTGATGGTGGTGGTAGTCATGGTGTTGATGGTGATGGTGGAGGTGATGATAGGGGTGATGATGATGGTGATGGGGATGATGGTGATAGTGGTGGTGGTGGTGATAGTGGTAGTAGTAATGGTGTTGATGGTGGTGGGGATGATGGTGGTGGTGATGGTGATGGTGGTGGTGGGGGTGATGGTGGTGGTGATGGTGGTGGTGGTGACAGTGGTGGTAGTGATGGTGTTGGTGATGGTGGGGGTGATGATGATGGTGATGGGGGTGGTGGTGATGGTGGTGGTGATGGTGGTGGTGGTGACAGTGGTGGTAGTGATGGTGTTGGTGGTGGGGGGGGTGATGATGATGGTGATGGGGGTGGTGGTGATGGTGGTGGTGGGGGTGATGGTGGTGGTGATGGTGGTGGTGGTGACAGTGGTGGTAGTGATGGTGTTGATGGTGATGGCGGTTATGATGATGATGATGGTGGTGGTGATGGGGATGGTGATATGGGGTAATGATGGTGCTGATGATGGTGCTATTGGTGGGGATAACAGTGGCAGTGGTTGTTTTGCTAGCAGTAGTGATGGTGAAGGAAATGGAGGAGAGTGTGTTGAAGTTTTTCCTGCCATGAGTCAGTAACAAGCTGTGATTAAAGTCCCAACCTTCTGAATCCTACACAGTTGGGCCTGACTCTCAGCTCCAGCCCTTACTCACCGCATGACCATGGCCATGTTAGTCATCTGTGTGCCTCACTCACCTCATCAGTGGAGTAGGAATCACAGGACTCATATGAGGGGAATGCGGGGATTTGATAACTGCCTGAATGTGCTGAGCCCAGAAACGACACGAATGACTTACCCAGAATCATGAGACTCCCAAGCCCATCCCGTACTTCCATCCCTGCTGGCTGTGTGATGTCTCCAGACCTGCATTATTTCTGTCCTGTTCTAGCTCTGTGACCTTGTCAGAACCCACCTGTTTGCCACCTTTATACACTTTCTTTTGCCCTTCTGCCTCAACCCAGGACACTCTTCCCAGCAACCTGAGCCACTTTTCCTTTTGTATGTCTTTCCCTGGAGACACCACTGAGGTTTGCAGTGTTACCTGCTCTTTGGCTGTGACTCCACAAAGTGATAGTGTCAGACAGGTTCCATCCATAATGTTCCTTTGTCTGACTCTGCTCGAAGGCTACTTATGCCTTCAAATGCCTCCCACATACCTTAAGAGGTAGGTGCTATTGTGAGACCCAAATTACAGATAGGAATGATGTTGAGGAACAGAGAAGTTAAATAGCTTGCCCAAGGCCACACAACTAGCAAGTGGCAGAGCTGGGATTAGAACTGGTAGAGCTGGGATGTACGTCCTGAAGACTTGCCCACTTAGCTGCTCTCTTTGCCCTGAGACTGTCCTTACCAAAACCTGCATCCCCACGTCCTGTACAAGCAAGAACACCCACGTAGCCAAACATCCCTGCAACCATTTGATTCCTTATCTCCTTCTCTGTACATCCAGTTGTTCTCTCAAGTTCTGCCCACCCAGAATCTCCCCCGTATGCTCTGTTCCTGCTGCCTCACCTCAGTGCAGGTCTTGCCCCGGCCAGTGATGCCACCTACTCCCACTGCTCTGCACCACCGTTCCCAGCTGCAGACACTGACCCTACAAGCCACACTCGCTCAGCCCACTCCTGGCTCAAAGCCTTCACGGGTGCTCCAATTCCCACTAAATAATGTCAAACTCTAGTCATGCTGCCTTCTTTGAAGCTATCATTCCTTTGCTCTGACTACAGAGGAAAACCCAAATCCAGAGTGCCTGAACTCCAGGTGAGTTCTTTCAGTCTGACGCACTGGAGTCTTCCAACGGCATGGCCGAGCAGCGTCAGAGGTTTCATGACAGTTATGACAATGCACAGCCTTGGCCACTGAGTCACCCCAGTAGCCGGTGAGTCACAGTCTCTCCACAGGACCAGCCGGGACCTGAGCTGAGTAGCCCTGGCTGCACGCCACTTAATTCTCAGGCTCCCAGCTATGCATCCGAGCATGAGCACACACCCAGAGGACTCTGGACCCTGGGAGTGCCACCGAAGAGTCAGGCCAGGCAGTGGAGCCATTGACACGGCAGTAGAATCTGTCCCTCTCCCTGTGGCTGAGGGGGTGGCTGGGGGTGGGGAGTGAGAGGCAGCCACCAGACCACTGCCCACGGGCCCTGAAGCCACAGCAGCACACTGTATGCCTCAGCTTCTCCTGCACAGCTAGGAAGCTCCTCTCTGTCTCCTTCATGGGAGCCACCATCTCCCAGGTTCCCCTTGACTCCCAGTCACCCATCCAGGCAGCCCTGACCTTCCTGGAGCTCTGTCTTCGCCACAGTCCAGCCGCATTGCCTAGAAAAGAAAGGGCGTGCAGAGGCTGAGAAGCGGAACGTGATGCCAGCCTCGGCACAGGAACTCGCTGTCTGTGTCCTTTCTCTGCCTCTGTCTCCTCATTTACAAAATGGAGATAAAACGACAGCATCTCTATTTTGACGGACAGTTGTGAGAACAATGAGATAGTTACAAAGTCCTGAGAACAGAGCCTGGCTCAGTCAGTGCTAAAGATGTGTTTGTTGCTACGATTACGATTGTACCCAAGCCCTCCTGTAGACTCTCCTGTCTTTGCCTTTGCGCCTGCCTGCTCTCTCCTCCCCTCCTCACCTCTCCTTCCCTCTCTTCTCACTCTCCCTCCATCCCCTAGTAAGCCCATTCCTTCCTGTCACCCCCAGTCCCTGTCACTTCCCTCTGCCATCGTGTCCCCCTGCTCTCCCTCCGGTGTCCCTGGATCGTTCCCTCCAGGATGCTGCCCAACCACCTTCAACCAAAGCAGCCGTAATTTTCTCTGCCTCCAAGCTGCATCCACTCAGCATCTCGCCATGGGCCCACTGTCAGCCAGGACACTCTGGTGCCACAGCCCCACAGCCTCCAGGGGATAAACTGGCCCTGAATGCGCCTCATGACCCAGCTGTCCCCTGCGCACCCTGCTGCCTCTGCCCAGGCTCAGGACCCCCCACCTCCCTTCTGACCAGTGCCCTTCCTACCCCCGGTCGCCTTGCCTTCTCCACCCACACCCCTCCCATCCCTGGATGCAGGGCACCTCTGCCACGTGTCTGCATGCCCAGCTGCAAAGGCTCTTCCCAGCGGTCATGGGCACCAGAGGCCATTGCCTTCAGTCACCCCTCCAGGGCCCTCAAGGATCGCGCCTCTCTCAGTCTCTGTGTGTGTTTTGGATGTGTCATGTTGTTGTTGTGTCACACATCCGGGCCTCTCTCTGTCTCTGTGTGTGTTTTGGATGTGTTGTGCTGTTGTTGTGTCACACATCCGGTTCTCTCTGTGTCTCTGTGTGTGTTTTGGATGTGTTGTGTTGTTGTTGTGTCACACATCCGGGCCTCTCTGTGTCTCTGCGTGTGTTTTGGATGTGTTGTGTTGTTGTTGTGTCACACATCCGGGCCTCTCTGTGTCTCTGTGTGTGTTTTGGATGTGTTGTGTTGTTGTGTCACACATCCGGGCCTTTCTCTGTCTCTGTGTGTGTTTTGGATGTGTTGTGTTGTTGTTGTTGTGTCACACATCCGGGCCTCTCTGTGTCTCTGCGTG